ATTTTAAATTGTGGCTTTGCACTGTTATGGGTTGCTTCTTCATAATCCATACAATACTTACTCTTTCCTTCTGTTTCCAGCAGCTAGACTTAAGACAGATGAAAAACAGTGGTTGCCACCTGAATAGTACTTGCTGATGTCAGAATGTGTTTATGCATGTACTGTAACTCCTCTGTACACATTAGCCAAGATTTGGGCTGTGCATTTACAGTTGGCATAAAGGGTAGTACATTCCTTTAGTTTAAAATTTTTAGGTATTATTATAATAATAATAATAATAATAATATATATATTATTAAAATGCTATAATTACTAATTATGAGTTATAAATTATTAGGTAATACATTCCTGTAGTTTAAAATTTAGCTATTCCATGAGATCAGAAAATGTCTTTAGATAACAATTACACATCTTAGTTTGATTAAGACTTTTGCAAACAGATTATCTGATGTATAGTTTTGAAGTGACCATCAGATGTTTAATGGATACTGCCTGCCTGTCCTTTTGTCCTAGTGTAATTTGTGTTTGGAATTGTGACTCTTTCTTTACTCTCTTTGACACACCAGTGGTGGGAATGTCAGGTTTGTTCTGGAATGAACATACATTAGGAATAGTTTGTTCAAAAGCAGCAATTGTTTCTCTTCAGTTTCTTTGGCCAAGAACTGGAGATTCCTGGCAATGCTTTTACACAGATTTACTCTGAGCTCCAGAGTTCTGCAAATTCCACCCTGTCCTTGAAGTTGGACATGAAGGTGTGTACACTAGTCACAGAGGCCAAGATTTTTAGGAAGTGACTAAATTTAGGTTTTGAGTCCAAGTTTAGAAACCCAAATAGTTTGACCTAATTTTAAACTAACACAATAGAAATATGGCTGTCCTGTCTATGTCCTTAATAGCAACAACTCCAAATTTCTTGTAGTGACTTACCTCAGTCAGGCTGCTGAGTTTCAGCTGGATATAGATACTGTAACTCTGTTGGCATGTCAGCATTGAATCTGCACTGTGGAAGAGATCCTGATTTGTAAAATTTCAGTTCTCTTACTTGGCACATTCCAAAGTGATAATGGCCTTGTCCTCCTTCTCTGAAATGGTTTGTTACAGAGACATGGCCTGGCCTGTGGAGCATGAGGTAAAGAAAGCAAAGAAACCAAATTTTCTGTTTCTAGTACAGAGGAAAAATTTCTTTGCTTGCAGGTATTTAAATCTTTTTAAAACCTATGCTGGAACCCAGTTTTATTCAGTGGTATCCCTTGTAAATATTTAAGTGCTGATCATTGTAAGCAGTTGATGTCTTCTCTAAGGTCAGCAAATCCATGGATGCAGCTGCTGTGGGAAATCCCAAGCATCATCATGTCCAGCTGCCTGGCCGTGAAGGGAAGGGACTAATTATTCAAGGCAGCAAAAGAGGTGCTGTGTCTGCCAAAGGCTGTCAGGTGGACCATCACACACAGGAAATTATCATTTTAGGAAGCAATAGAGAATTCAGAAAAAAGCTATGCATTTATAAGGAATTGAACAGGTAATAGCAGTTGAATAGTCTGTGATCTGACCCTATTAGTGTTAGGGTTTTTTATTAATTACCTTTACAAAAGTGATAACAATACTTGTTAGTGACATAAGTGTGATCAGCATAGAGACCAGGAAATGATCCAGTCTTTTTGATATAATATGAATACCATGACAGTAAAAACAAGATAAAATGCAGAGGTGTATGGCAGAAAATGGAGACTAAGAACAAGAACTTCTCCAAGCCAGAAAGTAACTATTCAGAAGTAAAAAGACAAAAGTTTATCTTCAGAAATAAAATAACAGATGCACAAGCATGTAGTCTGAGCACAGGATGACCATCAGTCCCCAGTAACACCAATCTGCTCAAAAACCAATGAAAACACTGCTACTGTACCTGCTGGCTAATAATTTGGGGCAGTCCCAAGCACTCATACAGGCTGGGTGCAGAATGGATGGACAGAATGGAGAAGGATTTGGTGGTGCTGCTTGAGGAGGAGCTCAGCATGCCCCACCTGTGTGTGCTGGCACCCAGAGCCACCCCCTTGTGTCCTGAGCTCATCCCCCAGCCTGGGCAGCAGGGGAGGGGGGGATTCTGCCCCTCTCAGGTGAGACCCCACCTGCAGAGCCACCCCAAGCACATGGAGCTGTAGGAGCCAGTCCAGAGGAGGCCATGGAGATGCTCCAAGGGCTGAAGCAGCCAGGCTGGGAGAGCTGGGGGTGCTCACTTTGAGAAGAGAAGGCTGCAGGGAGACCTCAAAGCCCCTTCCAGGGCCTAAGGGGGGACTTTGGACAGGGGATGGAAGGACAGGACACAGGGAATGGCTTCTCACTGCCAGAGGGCAGGGCTAGATGGGATGTTGGGAAGGAATTGTTCCCTGGGAGGGTGGGGAGGCCAGAGAAGTTGTGGCTGCCCCTGGATCCCTGGAACTGCCCAAGGCCAGGTTGGATGGGGCTTGGAGCAGCCTGGGATAGTGAAATGTGCCCCTGCCCATGGCAGGGGTGGAGTGAGATGATCTTTAAAGGTCCCTTTCAACCTAAACCATTCTGGGATTCTGTGTGTGAGGTAGAGAAGTGTCAGTGCTGTTGTAACAGGTGTTCATGAAAATGCATAGTCTGTGTTACTTGTACTTGATGAAGCTTACCTTTACTTAGAAAGGGAATATTTTTTATAACTGAAGGGAAAGAATAAGAAAAAATAGAATGAAAATTAAAGGATGTGATGAAAAATGATATGGAAATGAAGCTGTCAGAATAAGAATGTTTTCCTGGTAGACATAAATGTTACAGTCCTGTCTTCCTCTGATTTCTGCAAGTAAATTACACTTTCAGTATATCTGTTCCCACTCTGAAAAGATAGGAATAATCTTATGAAACAGTGGTTCCATTGTTGCTCACTACTTAATACTAATTTTCCTATTTAATTCAGTGTCATTTGAATTAATTTTTGATGGCATAAAACCTGAAGTTCTCTCTAATAGAATATTCATGACCTTGCTCTCAAGAATTAAATTTTTATACAGTTTCCTAATTTCACTGTATTCCATGGAGATTTTGTTCCTGAGTAAGTAACCAAGGGAACCAAAACAAGCCAGTAAAACCTAGTTCTGTGTGGAATTGCATTGTAACAAGAAAAGGTGCACAGTGCCAAGGTGAAGTTGGGCAAATGCTTCAATCCAAGTGGAATGCTTTGTTCAGCTGAAGCAGGTACATTTCTCATCAGAAATCTTCCAGAAAACACAGTGCATTTTTTTTAATTCAGGAAATGTCTGTAATCATCCAGTCTGAACCACTTTTTAAGCTGAAAGCTGTCTGAACAGCTTTTTAAACTGTGTTGTTTACAACTGGAAGTTTAACAAGAAGAATGCTTCCAAGAGCACCCTGAGTTTGTTGTATGTGATTTCCAGATCACTCCTGAAATACACTTTAAAGTTAGCAGCATCAGTTGGTATCTGCATTTCTGACTGACTGTGGTTTAAGCAATAGGTTGCTGAACTGTTAAGTGTAGAAAATTTGTATTTGAGTTCTCTCCCTGCCTGGGGTTTACAGTTTGCCACTCCTTTTATCAGTTCTTCATTTTCTGACACTTCTTTGAGTTACTTGGGCTCACTGATACAGACAAAAAGCTCTAGTGTGGTTTATCCTCTCATCTTTTCTCTGAGAAACTCCAGAGAGTTTCTTTAATGATACTGGTAATGCTCATGTTCTCTTTGCTAGTCAGCTCTGTTAATTCTCTGGAATTCTCTTCACATCCTCCCTGGGAGCTCTGGCGATTCAGGAGGCACTCAGAGCATCCTGTGTGTCAGTCAAACTCACTCAAATAGTGACCATCACAATCAGTGCCTTTGCAAGTGCTGTTTTCAGGTCACTTGCAGGATGCTGCCCTGGGGAGGCACTGGGGACTCTGATGCACCATCTGGAGGGTACAGAAGAAACTGCTCGTTTCTCATTTCAAACACAAGCACTTCTGCTGGAGCCAGGCTGTGATAGGAGAGCGTTGGCCTTGGGGCAGTGCTAAGCACTCTGAGCCAGAACAATCTGCTGACATCTTCAGAACAGTGTAGGAAAATCAATTTAGTGGCTATTTTAGCACTTTAGTTACTGGAAAAGGACTTTTTTAACCTTGGACATAAGATGGGAATAAACTGCTCTCTTGTAACAGCATAAGGCCAGCTTTCTAACAAACTTTCTTCTAGGAGATTATTGCAAGAGATTTCCTTTCATATTTTACTCCTTGATCCATGAGGTGAGAGGTCTGATGGGGCAGAGCATGTGAAGAGTGACTGATACTTCCAAATCCAGGCATTACTTCTGATCCTCAAGATACTAGTTTTGAATATAAAACTGAAAAACCTTTCTACTTTTTTCATTAAAAAGCTTTTCAAGTATCTAATTTGGGCAGCCTGAACTATGACATTGACTGCACTGAGCAGAATGGGAACATGATCTCTGCAGAGTTCCTCAGCAGGGCAGCGGTGCAGCCAAGAATTAGGTCACTGCTGCTGCCTGGAAAGCTGGCCCTGCCTTAGAGACAAGCAGCAGAGATGTTATCTGGGAGGAAGTACTAGAGATGCAGATTCTGAGATATCTCAGCAGCCAAGGGTAGAGATGGGCTGTTTTGAGGAGCACATGAGAAAACAGAGCTCTTCAGCAAACAGTCCCATCTCTAGTTGTTGGTCTCTTCCTGCCTCATACCGTGTGCTCTCAGGACTTGTTCTGTTTATTGCATAAATCAGATGGTTTTTACCTGGAGAGGTAAAGCCTGAGATGCTTCATGTCCTGTTACCTTCACTCTTGCCATAAAAATAAATCTTGGTTTATGTGTTGTCAGAAAAAAAACGGCAGGGAGGAAAAGAAAATGATGGGATTTTCATATTTTCCCCAAAATACTTCTGCTTACATTCATGCGGGTTTGGTCTGTAGCTCAAGCTGCTCTAGTACAAATAAAATTTTTATTAAATGTTTTTCCTATATTTTTCTTTATTTTCCAGGGCAGGGAAACCACCACCTGGCTTACACCTGGACGTAGTCAAAGGAGACAAACTCATTGAGGTATGGAAGTAGGATTTGATGGATTTCGTGTATCGTGTACATAGGCACCAGCAGCAGAACATTCCCTGTCATTTACCACACTTATTCATTAATATTTCCTTTCTCTCATGTATTCATTATCTTCAAATCAGTTTGTTTTGCTCTGAAACAATGAATGAAGTGACTTTTCCCTTGCCTGTGCAAGGCAGCCTCATACCATGCAAGGCTTCCATCAGTTAAACCTCTTTCCTTTGTACTGCTTGTTTGAGAAACCTCTCTGGTCAGTTAATTTTTTTATTTTGCATTACAGTCAGATTAACCAGGCATCCTGTATTTTGCAAGAGTGCTGCTCTGTCCTACAGCATGAAATACAGTTTGAGTTGATTTTTCCTCCCACATTCAGGATCTTTGAAGTGTTGTGATCAGCACAGATACAGCAAGTTATTTTTATTACAGCACCACCTCATTTTCAATTTCATATTTTGTCTTAGATCACACTGAAAGTAATAAATAAAGTGTTTACCATTGTTGACAGAGATAACCCAAACAGTGTTTCGGCTGTGGAGAATGTTTCTTGGTTTAGTGGTTTGACACTGGCCAAAGGCCAGGTACCCACAAAAGTCATTCACTTATCCTCTTCTGCTACAGTTGGGCAGAGGAGAGGAGAAAAAAACTATTGAAAGGCTCATGAGTTGAGATAAGGATTGGGAGAAAATAAACACTCTAAGGGCAAAACAGGTTCAAATTTAAAGGTATAAAGTGAATTTATTATTAACAGAGTCAGAGGAGGATAACAAAAAGTAAATGAAGCCTTTAAAACACCTTTTTTTCCCTCCTAGCCACTCTCTCTTTCCCACCAACAGCACAGGGAGATAGGTCATGAGAGTTTTGGTCAGTTCATCACTCCAGATCTACTTCTGTTTGCTCAGGGAGAGGAGTCTTTTCTGTGCTGTGCCATGGGGTCCCTTCCATGGGCAGCAGTCATGCTGAAACTGCTGTGGTGTGGGTTACACATGGGTCAATGGGGTCCAGTCTTTTAAGGCTAGGCTGCTCTAGTTTGGAAGCAAGAGTGCTCTCTCTCCATTCGGGTCTCCCACTAGATCACAGCTTTCTCTGGCATCCACCCACTCCAGCAGGGGCACTTCTCCCACGGGCTGTGCATGGATCTCTGGATCCCCATGGGCTGTGAGTGGATCTCTGGATCCCACATGGATCCCCACAGGCTGTGCATGGATCTCTGTATCCCACATGGATCCCCACGGGCTGTGAGTGGATCTCTGTATCCCACATGGATCCCTGTGGCATGTGAGTGGATCTCTGTATCCCCCATGGACTTCTGTATTGCAGGGCGAGTTTGTTTCACCACAGCCTGCAGAATAAGCTTCACCTCAGCTCTGGCACCTCCTCCCCTCCTTCTCCACTCTTGGTGCTGCCATGTTGTTTTCCCTCACATGTTCTCACCTCCTCCTCTGACTAGAACAAAAACTGCTGCTCATAGGTTCCATTGCCAACAAGTTCCACTGATTTAAAGACACTCACAAGATCCCGTAGCGCCGAGGCAAACAGCGCTTGGATGTGATCCTTGTGTTTCCCCATTCAATACAGGTTTTGCAGGTTTGTCTTTTCTGGTAGCCAGCAGAAACCATTGGTAACCAAGGAAAACCACTGTTAAATCCTGTGAGTAACTGAGCACTTGATACTAACCGAGCCATCAGTGTCCCAGCCTCGTGCAGAGGCCTGAGGGTCACCCTGTGATTGCTGGGTCTGCAAAGTGCAACAGCAAAACAAGCCATGCAGTGTTTAAGCTCAGTGTGTGAAGGAAGACACTGGGTTATAGCTCAGAGGCACAACACATTTTGGAAACATTATCTTGAATTAAAGACAATAAAATATTATCTTGAATTAAAGACTATAAAATTATCTTCTCTGTTGATGATTTGTTGCGGTACATGCATGAATTTGTGTCTTTGCAAAATCTCTTAGAAGTACTGCCCAGTCAGGGCAGTATTGGTTGTGTGTAACAGGTGCAGATGAAAATTTACAGGATGCTTTTGGTTTCCATTGTGGGTGAGAATGAGAAATGGTTTGATTTGTCATCCATCGAGGAATGTGTTAAAATCTCTGGGAGCAGATGGCAGAGAAAATTTCCTTGAGGAGGTAGTCTAATGCTTTGAAGAGTGACTGTCCTTCCCAGACTGTCCAGTATTGGCTAAAGAAGGGAATAATTTGGACTCTCCCATATTCAGCTGTTCTGATTTTATAAAGAGCAGACTTGAGTTTATGTATTTAACAGTGCCAGACTAAACTGAAATATTGATGAGCTGTTGCTGCTTTGTTTTGAATTTGTTCTATTGTTTCATGTTCTTGAATTTTTTTCAGGAAGATCCAAAAGATTCTAGGAGTCTAATATGCTTCTCTGTTTAATATTCTACCTCAGAAACTCATCATTGATGAGAAGAAATACTATCTCTTTGGGAGAAATCCTGATCTGTGTGATTTTACCATTGACCACCAGTCTTGCTCTCGGGTCCATGCTGCCTTGGTCTATCACAAACATCTCAAGAGGGTTTTCCTCATAGATCTGAACAGCAGTAAGTAGTGTGGCATTTAACTAGACAGAAGAGCTGTACTGCAGAGCTTAAACATTCTGAACCTCAGACACTCTTTCCTTTTCCATTGTTGTCTGCACTGTGGGCAAATGGATATAATTTGAATTTGCATCACAGGGAAAGACAAGGGTTAGGGCAAAGGAATGTTTGCTCCAGTCAGCCTACAGCTGCCTCACTGGGCGTTTCAAACATTTCTAACTTGTGAGAGGCCAAAGGAAAAGAGGAAAGTGACTTGGCCTTCCTGTCACAATTTTAGTGAAGCCTTGTCTTCTGAGGGTCATTTCCCAAGGTCTGGAACCTGTCAGGTGGTTTTTGCACTGTCCAGACATAGTACATTGGGACCTGGAGGAATACAGAAAATAACAGGTGTTTGTAATTTATTTCCAGTGATTTTTTTGAGGACTTCTGGTGTGTGTTATCTCAGTTTGTGAGATGGTGGGTCTACATAGCTGATGCTTTCAGCAGTACCTCAGTGCCTTGTACCTTGTAACAGTTGTTACAGTTTCTGAGATTCTCAACCTTGAACTGGAATCCCATGATCCCAAGCTCAACAGACTTATTTTGCATTTTGATGTCCTCAGCACATGGCACGTTCTTGGGTCACATCCGTTTGGAAGCTCACAAACCCCAACAGATCCCCATTGACTCCACGGTTTCCTTTGGAGCCTCCACCCGTGCGTACACCCTGCGAGAGAAGCCGCAGACGCTGCCCTCAGCCGTGAAAGGGGACGAGAAGATGGGTGGTGAGGATGAGGAGCTGAAGGGTTTGCTGGGGCTGCCAGAGGAGGAGACAGAACTGGACGTGAGTACAATGGCACACTGCCTTGATGGCATTTCCAGCAAGGACAGCATTCCTCACTCATTTGTGTAGTCATGGAATCATTTAGGTTGGAAAAGATCTTTAAGATCATCAGGTCAATAAATCTAACACTGCCAAGCTGTTACAACCCACACCTGAAGATGAGGTTTAACTCAGGTTCTTGTTAACAGATCCCTAGGGACAAACTGGAGTGAAACAATACTGAATAACCGAAGTTTATACATATATATATTTATATCTATATATAGGATTTATTTTAGAATCATTAGGTTGCAGTGGAAGGAAGGTAGGTATCCATTTTGGTTATAATTATCTATAATAATACAGAAAAATAAAAGTATAAAAATATCACTTAAGAAAACATAAAACAAAAAGAAAGAAAGGATATGAGTAGAAAGATCTCACCACCTGTGGGTCCAGCAACAAGACTTGATGTCCACTGGTTGAAGTGATGGTTGCAGTCTTGATCCATGAGGGTGAAAGAAGCCCTCAAACCACAGAGTTTAATGGCTTTAGGTGGAACACCCAGGTACCTCTCCTGGGCAGGAAAGTTTTACACTGTCTGTTGCAAACGGTGGATCTCGTGCAGCCCTCTGGTGAAAGGCCCAGAAATTATTCTGGGAGCATCTCAGGGAACTTTGATGGTTTATGACCCTTCCAGTACATGACCCTGGCTCTCACATCAGTGCAGCTGAGCCAGTTATGCCCCATCAGAGGGAAGAAAACCTTCAGCTCTAGGTGGGAATGGGAATGTCCCAGTACCTTCCCCAGAGGGGGAGAGGTCAGAGTTGAGGGATGTGGTTTTACACCTGAGCCGTTGTGTAAGGCAGGGCATTGCCCTGATAGAAAGCACTCACAGGATCTGCTTCTCATCAGCTTCTTCCCATAATCAGGTTCAAAACCCAGCCTGATGCTAAACAAGGGTTGATTTGACAGTCATCCTCTGGTGCCCACACCCTCTGTGCCTCTCTGTTCCTTCATGCATGTCAGCAAAGCATCCACTGTGTTTGCAAATGGCCAATTGTTTAAGGCATTGACACATTTCAGTCTGTCACACGAAAGACCCACAAAACCCTAAACCACGTCCTTAAGTTCAATATCTAAATGTCTTTTAAATACCTACAGGAATGGTCACTAAACAACTTCCCTGGCTAATGCTTCCTTAGGTTCAGGTTTTTAATTTCTTGGTTTTGAAGACAGTCTGAGGTGTCTTCTGCTGTCCAAACCGTCTCATCTGCAGTGATTAACTTGCTGCTTCCCCGAATCATGGATCTAACAATCTTACTATGCCAGTGGTCATCTTACAGGGTTTGCCAGAGACTCTCCAGCTAACATAGCCTCAGTTTGGGGTGGTTTCCCACTCAGTTCCCATTGCCACATAGCTGTGAATGCTGCCCTGTTCCCTGAGTTAGCTAGTAAGGAGGGAGAGCAGTGTCTCTGGCATTCAGACTGCAGATGTGGGAAAGGACCTCTCAGAATCATCAACCAGCTCAAGCAGGGCCACCTGGAGTAGGCTGCCCAAGATTGTGCTCCATTCTAAATATCTCTGCAGAGACCCCACAGCCTCCCAGGACAGCTCATTGCAGCCCTGAACCTCTGCTTGTTCCTTGGGGTCTGAAGTGGAAACTAAACCATGTCCTGTGGTCTTCTGATGTGCACAGTCGTGTGATTAAATCAGACTTCATACACTAATTGCTTAAACTCTTTTGTTTGTAAATTTGCATTTAGAATCTGACAGAGTTTAATACAGCCCACAACAAAAGGATCTCCACACTGACCATTGAGGAAGGGAACTTGGACATCCAGAGGCCAAAGCGAAAACGGAAGAACTCCAGAGTGACGTTCAGTGATGATGATGAGATCATCAATCCAGGTAAAGAGTGAGCTTTAATCCTCAGCTGATGCCCTTCAGGACCTCCTTCCAGTATGCTCATAGGGATTCTTCATGGGTGCATGTGGATAAGGAGAAAATTAATTTGGCAAGTCAGTATTTGGGATCTGCTATTTCACAAAAGCTGTCACCATGTCTCACTGGTGTCTGTGACCTCTTTCTGTTTCTTCTGTTCTGCCTGTAAAGTACCTGCAAGCTCTGAGCAGGATGGGGGTATCAAACTCAGCTTCATTGTTCAGTACTCTGTCAGATACTGGAGAAATGTCATGGGTCCAAAAGGAGGAAGGTGGTTTATGGTTTTTGCCCTCTTTAGAATCTCAGTGGGAACAGAATTTGCTTTTCACCTGTCCTATAATGCTTTCTTTACCTATTGCCTCTGGGATGTCTTGAGCTCAGAGGGTTTTTGCTACTTCTCTGCACATCTGAACCAAGTCATCCCTAATCCTCATTCAAACTGATGCATTAGAAGATGTATCCAATTCCAAATTAGTCCTTTTTTCTCCCTTTGCTGCTCTTAGCTTATCAATCATACTTTATTTGGATAATATTCCTGTTAATAAGAGCTGCTAATTAACGAGCAGGTATTTTGAAATACAATGTGGAGGTGGTTTCTTTGGCACCCAGAGTGAGCATTTTGGTTTATAATGTGATGCAGTTCAGTGCTCAGAACATCCAAATGCAAACACCAGTCATTCTTATCACAAAAAAAAGATAATTTTTCTGGACTTTAAGAGACTGACTGCTTCTGACTCCTGCTTCAAGGCCCCCCAAGGACTTTAGGAACCAACTGCTGTGCCTTTAGCACTTGCAGTGCCTTGTCAGCAGCAGCTTTCAGCCCAAACTGATCCCAAACTCATCCAGCTGCTCCCATTCTCCATTTGAGAGAAAGCCAGGATGCCTGATGAGCCACCTGGAGACAAAGCCCTGGATATTCCTCCCTTTATCTGGTCCCACTTGTGCTTACTGGGAGCTGCTGGAGCACTGGCTATGGGAGGAGAAGGTCTCTTCCAGATTTTTCATATAGATTCCATTACCCCACAGGTTTTGTTCTTCCCGTGGTTCTGTTTTTCCCATGTGCTCACTGAAGGCATCACTGTTGTTGCTTTGCAGAGGACGTGGACCCATCTGTGGGGCGGTTCCGGAACATGGTACAGACAGCAGTGGTCCCTGTTAAGGTACGGGGTGACTCCTGGCTTTCTCATTGGCACATTACATTGATGAACTCACTTTGTGATTTATGAACTGAGAGTGCTCCCACGTGGAAAGTGTTTCACTGTCCTGTCTCTGTTTCACAGTTGTCTATTGTAGAAAATTTGACCATTTCCCTTCAAACCCAGCTTTAACTTTTTTCTTTAATAACACGTGGGATCAATGGTGTTGGTTTATTTCCTCCCAAAAAGAAACACTTTCTAGAAATTCGGTGCGTTAGTTCCGGGTGTCAGATAAAACTGTGGGAAATGTGGATAACAGAAGGGAAAAATGAGAGTTTGTTTATTTAAATACTGTGTTTGACATTTTATAAGTTTGTGTACTAGAAAAAGCTAGAGAAAAGAAAGAAAAAAAAAAAGGTTTAGGCTTTGCTCCAAGATGAGTGTGTTGCCAGTATTCTATTTAATTGAAATATGCAAGGAAGGAGATCTGTAGAAGCTCAAAGCAGCTAAGCCACTGTTTAACAGTAATTTCACTTGTTGCTGGTATAGACTAAATAACATCATGTGGAGAAGGATAATATTGCATAAACCCAGACTGCAGGAGAAGATTACAATGATCAGGAGAAAAAAAACTCAAGTGACATAGAAGTTGCAGTTTCTTTCTGTGGTGGGGGGAAGGTTTGTGTTTTAATGCTCTCAGGCACAGGGTGGGATTTGGGGTGTTGTGTGCAGGGCCAGCAGTTGGACTCAGTGGGCCCTGTGGGTCTGTTCCAAGCCAGGACATTCTACTCAGTCTTTGTCCAGGACAAGCTCAAGACTGGCAGGAGTGTACAGGAGGTGAAGAGGTGCTCAGGCTTCATCTGAGTTACACCTGGGTGTCAGCTTTCACACAGTCACACTCACAGACACACCACAGAGAGCTGAGCGACAGCAGAGAGCCAGGAAGGGTCTGTGGATGGAGTTCCAGTGGGGTTTATTGCAGCCACACACTGAAGGGGTCCAGGAACAAAGACAGGGAGCCATGGAGGGGCCAGGGATATAAATGGGCTGGAGGGGGTGGAGCCGAGGGTCAGGGTCCAATAGGAACAGTGGAAATTGGTGCATGGGTGGGGCCAGGGACAGCCAATGGGATCACAGGGGTGGAGCTCTGCAGCAAACTGGGGCCAATGGGGAAGCAGAGAAGGGAGAACTTTCTAGAGAAAGGACATAAAAGGTAAAAAGGGGCGGGACAGCCCCCAGGCCAGCTGGGTACACAGAACTGGGGTACAGGAACATGGTGGGGCAAAGAACCAGGGGAAAAACCTTTTCCTTCAATCTTTATGGAAGGGAAAACCTTCCTTTAATGCTTTAAGGTCACACCTTAGAGGCCTCTTTCCACACCATCACTGCCTCTGGCTCCAGAGCCACCACATCCCTTCCTGCACTGTGCACCTCTAAGAGTTTATTGTGGCTTTCAAGGGAACCCAGAGGAAACCTTGTAGGACAAAGAATGGGACATGGTCTGTTAGCACTTTGCATGTGGCAGATTTAGGTGCCTCTTGGGGGGAAATGGTCTTGGCACCCAGTTTAAACATGGCGATGGTTTCACGCACTGTGAGTAATTCTTTAACTACTTCTGTCTCCAGAAGAAGCGCCTGGAGAATGCGGGCTCGCTGACCACGGACGAGTCTGCGTCGCGGCGCATGCAGAGCTTCCCCTACAGTGGAGGATTGTACGGGGGGCTGCCCCCCACCCACAACGAGGCGGGGTCGCAGTCCCACAGCGTCCACGGCACCGCGCTCATCGGGGGGCTGCCCATGCCCTACCCCAACCTCGCCCCCGACGTGGACTTGACTCCAGTTGTGCCCTCCACAGTGAACATGAACCCGGCTCCAAACCCTGCTGTCTTCAACCCTGAAGCTGTGAATGAACCCAAGAAGAAGAAATATGCCAAGGAGGCCTGGCCGGGCAAGAAGCCGACCCCGTCCCTGCTGATCTGAGCCGGGCTGAGGGAGGGTAGGAGTTACCAACTCCAGAAACTTTTCATGTGCGGTATCGTCTTTTTAAAATTTCGGTGTCCTAACAGATGTAATACCAAGAATGGAGGAGTGAAATATCCTTTAAAGATCTGTCTTCAAATGTTTTTATATGTCTGTTAAAAAAAAAATACAGTTCCCATCTCCTTTTGAACCAAAACCCCTACAGCCTTTTCTTAGCCACCACTGTCCCAGAGGTCTTTATGCTGAGTTTGGATCCGTAAGTCAAGGGGCAGTGACACAATTTAATTATCACTTATGGCATGACCCTGCAGGTCCGTGTATTTCAGTGCTGAGCTCTTTGTGGTGACACTGTTCCTGTTGGACATGCTCACAGCAGGCAGCTCTGTCAAGAGGAAATGTTTGTGGGGCCAAGTCTTGCAGAATCCCATTGGAAGGAGTTGTAAAACTTGCAGAATATAGGTCAGCTTTTATTTTTTATATTTTCAAAACTCCACTAATGTGGGACATTCTCTTTTTTTATTATTATTACTATTTTTAGTTTGGCTACAGCTTCTTTTAATTTCCTCAAAAAACACTAGATCATCCCACGAGTCATGGGTTGAGATGGATGAGCAACAGGTGGGTTCCTTAGCTTTGTTCCAGCACTGCAGAATGGGGTCTGTGGGATGGATACAGGCTGCAAACCGTTGGAGCATCCGAGGATCAGGCACTGACTGTGTGGTGACTCCCCTGGATAACTCAGGGTGTAACACAGTGGAGTTTCTTTTAGACTTGGTGGCCCATGTAACTTAAATAGTTTCATTTTTATTTGCAAATGGAACTTTAAAGTTTAGATTGTATGAGATTGAACAAGACAGAGAGCTGGAAGGACTGGCACGTTCCACACACACAAATATTTTGGCTGCTGGGAACTGCAGGTGAGAATTGAGTGCTGCAGAGAACCAGAATAGGAATTCTCAGTGGACTTGGGTTGTTGCTCAAGCCCTTTAATTGCTTAGGTTTAAATTTGAAAGTGATTCACATACTCAGACGTATTGTGGCTGTACTTTACACAAGGTAAGGCCAGAGCTCTATCATTGTATTTACTCTGGATTTTTGTACACACTCTAAAGCAGTTCAGCCACAAGTCACATTCCTTTAGTGTTTGGGGGATCCAGGAAATGTGCACCAAAATGAGAGCATGTACCTGGCTGTTCACTGTGTGCAGGACTGCAGCTACTTGGGGAACTAGTGCCAGGTTGCTGGATCAGGGCTGTGTTCCAGTGAGCTGGGATGGTGCTGGATCAGGGCTGTGTTCCAGTGAGCTGGGATGGTGCAGGAACAGGGCTGTGTTCCAGTGAGCTGGGATGCTGGATGGTGCAGGATCAGGGCTGTGTTCCAGTGAGCTGGGATGGTGCAGGATCAGGGCTGTGTTCCAGTGAGCTGGGATGCTGGATCAGGGCTGTGTTCCAGTGGGCTGGGATGCTGGATGCACCTGACCCATTTTCAGATACCCCAAAGTCTCTGTGAGTTCTGTTCTGCAGTGATTGCTTCTATCATGTCCCTGAGGTGCCAGCTGGCAGCCTGTTCTCTTCCCTCCCCACACCATCACATCCAGCTCAGATTATTATTCCCTGTGTGGATTTAGCACCTGCTCCATGATCCAGCTGTGCTGCTCTGTGTTTAAGTTGCCATTGATGATTCAGCCATTGGGCATTTGTTCTGCTTCCCAGTGCTCCCACAATGACTCAAAATCTTCCTCTCTTTAGTCTGGCCTATAGGATTTTCATTTCCCAGACAGTTGCTTTCTGAAGGCAACTCTTTAGGGTAAGACTAGTCAGGACAAACAAAAGTTGAGCAGGTTTCCTTATTTTCCTTTCTGTTTTGGGGGTTTTTTTGTTTTGTTTTATTTTGGGGGGAAGAGGGTTGGGTTTGGGGTTTTTTGGGAATTTTTTTTTTTGCAAGTGGCTCTTTGCAAGATTTTTCTTGACAAGGGAAACTTCACTGCTCGTTGTTTTTTAAAGCTCTTCTCCTCCCAGACTCTGAACCAGCTCTTATTATTTCAGAGCTTAGGGGCCACAGCTGGCCAGGAGGGGACAGGAACATCAAGGGGCTTTGTACAGACATTTGTACACTTGTGTAATATGTAACAGGCCTTTTCACACTTCTGTTGAGCTTTTTACCTGTAACCTTTACTATGTTGTAAATTAAATGCAGTTTTTGCCAGGTTGGAGAGTGTAGTGTGTTTGTTCCAGTCTGCAGTGCTACAGCTGCCCATTGTGCTGTGGCTCAGGGGAGGATCCTGCTGTGGCAAAGTGCCCTTCTCCCTGCAGGCCTTGTCCTTGGGCTGCAGCTCCTAAAGCTGCCCCAGCTGCTTTGCTTGTCACCTGCTGTGCTGCACTTTGGTACACAAGCAACACTTAACAGTGGATTTTGAACAGTGCTTGCTTTTGTTTTCCAAGTTGAGTTTTATCTGGTTCTGGCCTAATCCTCTTCGTAAGTTGTGCCCCAGAGCCCAGTTCTGCTGCTCTCATTGCTCAGCCTGCTCCTCCTTGTGCAGGCTGAGGGCACCATGCCCTGGCACTGGATCTGAGAGCCCTGGGCAAACAGCACCCCTGAGAGGCAAACAGCAAACTGGACACAGGTAACCACAGGGCCTGCAGTGCAGGGTTGAGAGGAACTCCCCAGCTTTGCTGAGTTCAGTAATATTTATTTAGGGCATACATAAGTTTTTTCCCAGTGCAGCAGCAGCTGGGGCAGGTTCCCTTGCACTGCAGTGTTGACAGAAGGCTGAAGTTCACAGCTCGTGTGCCAGCTGCTCACCCACTACAGGCAGAAATAGCTGGAAAAGGTGAAGGTGTTCCCTCTGGGGTCTGACACTCAGTCTGGGTGTGTTCATCTGTATTAAATGAAGGATTGAAAGGGAGGAAAGCTGTATAATAATCTGAAGCTCTCTGCACTAGTAGTGCAGAGATGGGAACCAAGTGGAGACTACTTTGCAGCTGAATCAATGAACTAAAGAAATTGGTAATAGTGTCCAGGAACACTTGGCCTTGCAGAACTTGAGTTACCACTGTAACCCCTCCTCCCTGGTTTGGAAATTCATAAATAAATAAAGGGTGCAGCATCCAGCCCAAGAGCTTGATGTGAGGTACCCCATGGACACTGAGGTACCAACACATCAGCCCCTGTGCCAGCAGGCCTGGGACAGGACTTGGGGTGATGAGAGCTCCTGGGGCTCTTCAGGAGAGCAGGAATAGCTGCCAGAGCAGAGTAGGTGAGTGGCCAGGTGAAGTGTGTACTTATGGAATTACACCAAGGGCTTTGAAACTTCAGTGGCACCAGGAGAGACCGCCAGGACTGCAAGACATAGCTTGGGACAAGCCAAGGACCTGGGGCTGTGCAATGGCTGATGCTGGGCTCAGATGTCAATTGCTGTTTATAATGTTTTTTTCAAAAAAAAGGCAAATACAATCAGATCATCTGAAATTTTTTACTCTCAAAAGTCTCAATCGGTGGTAGATAAAGGGGCAGCAATGTTTCTGTACAGGTCTTCACACATAGGAGCTGTGTGGTGGCTCTGGGCTTTACCTGCTGGGTGTGGGAGAGGGAATACTGGAGGGAGTGTGAAGTAAGAGCATGGAGTAAGGATCAACACCTTCAGGTTTGGGTTGCAGTTGTTAAGTAACCCTTCCCCAAAGGTCCTGGAACCTGTAAAGCAGTAAGGGGTATCTGACGTTCCAACATCACAGAACAGAGCTTCCTCCCTTCCATCCCCCCCATCAGGGCCCCAGGAGAGCCCAGAGCCACTTTCACACACAGAGCACTGATCCTGCTCCCCCTCCACCCACACCTGGAGTCCAATACCAGCACTGCACTGGCTCCCTCCAGGGCCTCAGCACAGCTGGCAAACCCAAGGCTGTAAATCACCACCTCAGATCTCACTGCTGCCAAGCCCAGCTGAGGGAGGGAACACAGTGGAGCTGAGTGAAGAGAGCACAGAAGAGAGTGGAGAGCTATTTATGCTCAACAGTGAGGCACAAATCATCTGTACTTCATCTTCAGCACTGAAACACCAAAGTTTGCACAAGTCCAGACACTGCCACCCCACCTTGCTTTGCTCATAAGCCACAGGCTGCTGTGGAGCAAAACCACCACAACACGACTTCCTCTGTGCAAACTTGCAAAAGTGTGTGCCAACATGAGGAATGCTGGCAACAGCCTCTGGAACCTGTGGCAGCTCCCTACCCTCACCCCTTGCCAGTTCATGCCCACAGGGAGGCCTGGTCTTCATCTGATTTGTGAGGCTGCCCCAGCAGTCCCAGCAGAGGGGGGACACTCCTTGTTGCAGTCACTTTGGCACAACAAGGCTCTCAAAAACGTTGCTCTTCATACATCAAGCTTATCTAGAAAAATTCAAATCAGCATCACAGGCCTTTTAGTAAACACTGACAATTTTGTCCTGGCTTCCAAGCAAGTTCTCAATGCCAAAATCACCAATTCATGTGCAGGGTAGTGTCATCTCATGCCCTCCTCCTTTTCTCCTGCTCTTGGCCATCATAGCACTTGCTGAGGACTGAGAAATCCTAAGAACACGCAGAAAACCAAAAGCCAAACACTGCTGGCAGCAAGGGCAGAGCTGTTGGTTTTCACACACTCATCATACTTTATAAAATCAACTTCCCTGATGGCACACACGTGATCCACACGGCATTCCTGCTTGCACGGCTCCAGGTCATATCTGGCAGAGTTAAACTCATAGTACAGCTGCAAATAGTGTGGGTCCCTCGAGATCCTCTCCAGCACCTTCTGCATGGAGCTTGCAGAGCCATCAGGGACCTGGAAGGCTTCTGTCAGCCTGTACTCTTCTTCCCACACTGGGAACTCTTCCTCCCGTGGCAAGGCCATCATGTTGGCATGAGTAAGGTTCAAGTAGTAAGTCACCATATCCTGAGGGAGAGAAAAACAGAACTGAGGAGACACCAGGACAAGATTAACCCTGGAGTGAGACACTGGGCTGGGCTTGGCCCCCCCACCCCAGGGCCCAGCTGCCCTTGATGGGGTTTCCTACTGAGATGGGCACCTGGGGTCACCTCAGGTGAGGCCCTCCAGAAACCACCCCAAACAGAGCCTGTTCTCCTAAAGGGTGAAGGGGTGGCTTTGTTCTGCTTGACTTTGACCTGCAAACAATCAGAAGCTTTGAGCCTGGACTGCTTCAGACATCAGTCAGTTACTCTCAACACCGTCCAGCAGCACAAGCAAGGGCTGCAGGAACCTTACTTACTGAGCAAAGTTATCTTCACTGTGAACAAACTGAAGAATCAAGTTTTTCACAGCTTCTGTTCTCAGTCTCTTGCCCTTTCTCTCTCTGCTTCACTGGCTCCCCAGGCTGCACAGCATATTTTAGCATTCATTTCTATGTTATCAATATGTAAACTGAGCAACTACAGAGAGCTTCATCCACTACAAAGCAGGGCTTAAGCACCAGTCCCCCACCTAAGCACCCATCCTTGGCAAACAAGATGGGAAACAGAAGTTACCCCTGCAATTCACCTCCATTCAGATCCACTTTTTGCCTCACTTTAGCAAGTAGAGGGACACAAATAATTTTCAGATGGTTTAAAGGTCTTGGAGGGGGTCTGACAAGTCTGTTATTACTCAAAGAGTAATTCTGTGATCCTTATCTCAGGAGAAAAGCAAGTGTCAAAGGAAATTTGCTAAGGACACGAAAAACACCACAAAAACTCTGACCCTGCCCAAGGGAATTCATCCCAGCAGGATGGGAAGCTGCCAGGGCCATGCTTCGATTCACTGACGCTCTGACTAAATCTTTGTGTCTGACACAAGGCTGAAATATCCTGGGTCAGTGCCCTTCCCTACAGTCACTCAGCTTCTGTGGACTGAGAAATCCTGAAGAGCCTGTTCTTACTACAGGGAAGAATTAAAGTTGCTCCAGAGCTGCAGTGTGGTGCACACAGGGATCCCCTACCAAGACCTGAAGGGTGTCCTGATCATAGTGGACCATCCGAATCGCAGGGTTGTTGGCTCCATTGCTCACTCCAGGTAATGTTGTTTTCCAGGGAGTCACTCCAGGGGCCAGGAACATGACATTGATTGGAGTACCTTTACAGAAATGCAAAGCAAATTGTGACTACATACCATGGCTTGTCCCACACCCTGTCCCCATCACCGTGAGCACCTGGAGCAGACTGTGCTGCCGACAGCACCTTTGTCACCAGCTCCTGGTGCCACCAGACACACAAAGATGATTTTGGAACAAAACTGGGGACTGAGCACAGGGCTGCTGCAGCCAGGAACGGGCTCTCCAGTGCTGGCAGAGGCTCTTGCAGTGAGGGTGGCCAGGGAACCACACTCAGCAAAGGTGTTCACCCAGAGCACCCCACACGCACAGATTCAGCACTGCTCCCTCAGCAATGCCCAAACCCTTCAAGTGGGAACAGGCAAGAAACTGCCAGGCATTGAGGGGAAACAATATATGAAAATGAATAGGAAGGAGGGCAGGAGCTATAGACTGGGGATAGAGATGAGAACCACTGCTGCCTCTTGTTGCCCAAAGCATTTCAGAAGATTTTGCTGGCTTCTCAGCTGCTTTCAGCCAACAGCCACTAAAAATTCCCACGGACAGTGACTCTGGGAGCTGTCAGAGCTGTCACACAAGCGCTTGGGTGACCAGAACAGGTACCTGTGTCGCTGTAGAACATGCGAAAGCTGTCAGTGTGGTGGTGCCCAAAGAACTGGGCAGCGATCACCCTGTGGTGCTTCTGCACAATTCCCAGGTAGCGCTCGTTAAAGCCCTTGCGGAACCAGGGCTTGCCCCGTTTCTTCTCAAAGAAGCCAGGAGGGACGTGCCCCACAATGTAGACCTACAGAAGCAAGAGCTGCCCTGAGCACAGAGCCCACACTACCCATGGAGCAGCAGCCAGCTGCAGCTGCATCCAGAGGGAGCAGAGCAGGAAAAGCTTCTGGGCTGGGGACAAGCCCAGGTTGTTTATTCAGTCTTTTTAATACCATTTCATTTGCTCTAGAGGCGTTGGTCAGGGTTTCTTCCAGCCACTGGAACTGCCCCCCAGGATCCTCCTCACCAGCTGTCTCATCATTCTGGTCATAGTACAGGTTGGTGTTGAGGACAACAATCCGTCCCCTCATCCCTGGGCCAGGCAGCTTTTCACTGTAGAAAGCTCCTTAAAAATGCAACCAACAGAGAAAGAGCTGGAGGTCTGATCACACTGATGGCTGTGATCCCAGATCCCTTTGTTTCCACCTCTCTCTATTCTCCTTAACAATAGCCACAGCAGGGTCACTGCCTGGAACAGTGCTTTGACCACTCCAGGATGTGGATTTGGAGTGACTCTTCCCTGTGTGTCTGTCATTCTCATGCCTCTCCCAGTGAAGGGAGACCTGAATGGGTAAGATGGGCAGCACCAGGAGCTGGGCAGCTCTGGAGAGCCCCAGCACTGCCTGCACCAGCTGCTACCTTTAAAGGTATTTTTCCTCCCTCTGCAGGTCACCACTCTGCATTCTTCCCAGTAACTTGACAATGGCAAGAGAAACTAAAGTATAAAATAATTTATCTTCTTGCAGAACTCCAAGACAGAAATCAGCATTAAATTGGACCCTACCTCTGCAAATCCTTTATTGCTTTGAGCATAGAAGTAAGGAAAATGGTTCATAGTATTCTCCTACCACTCCTCATATCCCCAGCATGCTCTAAACGTGAGCCAGTGGTGCCAGACCTGTTCTAAAGAGAGGAAGGGAGGCATCACTCAGCCAGGGCCGCCACAGTTCCGCTGTCTGGTTGTAGATCCTGTGCTTCTTCCCAGGAAATTGATTCTTGGGGTGGAAGTCATGATTGCCCATCGCTGCATAGACCTTGGTACCTGGAGACAGAACCAAGGAAGTGCAGGGGAGGTCAGTGCTGCAGAGCTCCTCCAGGCTCCCCGAGGCACTCCCAGCCTTGGGAAGAGAGCTCTGCCAAGCCAGTCACCCTCTGCCCCCAGGGGCACCACACAGCTCTGACCCGCCCTGGGGACACGGCACCCACAGCCAAGGGACTGAACTGTCACCAGCAGTAATGCTCCTTGCCCCCTGCTGACACAGGTTATGTCTGAGGGTACCTTGCAGCCTTTTCTGCCTTCAGTACTAATGACAGAAACCTTTTTTTTCCTCTCTCCTGAGTGAGCTAACCTGAAACACGAGTATGCATCAATGCTGTATGGCACAGTAGAATTGAGGCCACCAAACAAGTCCCAGTGACCACAGCCCTTCTGTGCTTTTCCCTGTTCCAATTTTGTCATTTCTCCATCCTGGTTAACCCTTCCCATGAGTCTCTATGCCACACTCTCTTTCTCACCCCCTCAAATCCTACCTGGAAATGTCTCCTTTATCAGAGAAGTCAGATTTGCTATTATGTGCAGAACCTTTTCTTCTCCGAGCTGCTCATTGGGCACATGGGGAGTGTCATCTCTAGAAAAAGAGAAGCAGCACAGTCACTGTCTGGGACTAACAGGGCCTGTGCTTACAGCAGTGAGCAAAGCAGAGAAACTTGCCAACTCCTCTCTGTGCCTCCTAGAAGAGAAAGTTTAAGCTTTTGGGTGCAGAAGTCGGTGCTATGTTGACTGGCCAAGACACTGAGGGAGTTTCAAGAAATTGCTCACAGGGAAAATGAGCTCCACTCCAAACTTGCCAGTCAAGGAGTGTTCAGACAAAACTGTCAGGGATGCACAAGGTGGGATTGTTGGGGTGTCTGTGCAGGGCCAGGAGTTGGAATCCATGATCCCTGTGGGTCCCTTCCAGCTGAGGATATTCTGTGATTCCACAATTAACTTTACCTTAAAACTCCTATGCACAATGGTGTGAAGGGAAAGCTCCCTCTGCACGGGGAGTGTCACAGGCACTAAAGCTACCTGGAAATACTGCAAGGATCAGCACTTGGCAATCTGAGGGCACCTGATCTGCAATAATGAAGCAGAGCTGTTTGCACAGCTGTGATCACCATGAAACAAGGGAATGCCTCCAGTAAGGCAGCAATCTAGGGCTGCTCCCTGTCTGTGTTTGCATTAACATGCTTACAGCATTTGTAGAGGATGCTGGGCAGTCCAAAAGCCTACTGGAGAGAGAGAGAGACCATTCAAAATCATGTCAAAGAACTGGGGGAAATTGCTTGAGAGAAAATACTCAACATAAGGTCACAAGAACAAATAACTACATCTAAGCAGGAACAGGCATCTGCAGGGGCAGAAAATGAAAACACAGGACAGGTAACAGTCCTGCAAAATGACCTGGAGGTTACAGCAAGCTGAGGCTGCACTATCAGAAGAAAGACAATATACACAATCACCATGCAAAACAAAACTTTTACCGCCTGTAAGTGCTGTTGAGGCCTCCCATAGGAGACCCACCCCTGGAAACCATACCAGGGGAGAACATCCTCTACTGGGGAGGTTCCTCTGACTCTTAAAGCAAAACCTGTCTCCCTGGCACCTCATCAGAGCCAGAAGCAATGCTGCAGGCTGCTTGACACTGCTGTGACTGGCAGTGCCGGATGCAGGGACACACAGCCCCTTCCCCTGGGCATTGCTGGTCCTCGGAGTCACTGTGGAATCGGACACGGCGGGACAGGATGCACAAAGCACACACAGTGAGTGGTGATCCTTTCGTCACCTCACTGCCAGGAGCTCCTTGCCAGTGTCGAGAGCCCTCGCTGGGGTTGTGCTTTCCTCCAAATCCCTGTTTTACAGTACGAGGCACATTCTCCCTCCTCCTTTTCGAAGCGGGGACGGTGGGAAGAGCCCTGACACCCCACGAGCTCCGTACGGGCTCCCCTGCCCCTCTCCCGCCCGGCCCTGGTGGCTCACCCGGTCCAGAGCACGAAGTCCG